ATATGAAACATGCTCAAAGTCACTAATCATCCGAGAGATGCAAATCAAAACAACAATGAGATACCATCTCACACCTGTCAGAATGGCCATCATCAGCAATTCAACAAACGACAAGTGCTGGAGAGGATGTGGAGAAAAAGGAACACTAGTGCACTGCTGGTGGGAATGCAGACTGGTGCAGCCACTATGGAAGGCAGTATGGAGGTTCCTCAAAAAATTGGAAATGGAACTCCCATTTGACCCTGTGATCCCACTTCTAGGAATATATCCCAAGAAACCAGAAACACCAATCAGAAAGGATATATGCACCCAGATGTTCATAGCAGCACAATTCACCATAGCTAAGACCTGGAAACAGCCTAAATGCCCATCAGTAGATGAATGGATTAGAAAACTGTGGTACATCTACACGATGGAATACTATGCTGCTGTTAAAAAGAAGGAACTCTTACCATTTGCAACAGCATGGATGGAACTGGAGAGCATTATGCTAAGTGAAACAAGCCAGTCAATGAAGGAAAAATACCACATGATCGCACTCTTTCATGGATAATTAAGACCATTACAAACTTTTGAACAATAATAAATTCAGTGGCAGAGCTGCCTCAAACGGTTTGACGGACTGCAGTGGGAAGGCCAGGGAGGGTTGGGGGACAGGAGGGAGGGGAGTAAGAGATCAACCGAAGGACTTGTATGCATCCATATAACCATAACTAATGGACATGAGACACTGGGGGGTAAGGGAGGGCAGGGGCCTGTCAAGGGCGGGGGGGAAAAAAGGACACTTATGTAATACCCTTTGTAATACTTTTAGCGAAAAATAAAAAAAAAAAAAGAAACTCAGTTTGGAGAAGGAATTATTCATGTCATTACATGTTTACATAAAAACCACATGTGTGGTACAATAAAGACATGTTCTTGCAGAATGTACCATATATAGTTATATTCAGTGGGATTATTTTTCTGACCAAAAAGCTTCACAGGCCCACTTCATCACACGTCAGATTTCTGCAAGTCTGTTTGATCCAACTATAAAGAGAGCTTATCTTTCTATTTGAAATAAATCAACACAGAGGCCACTGACTCTGTGCAATCACGGTAAAAAAAAAAAAAAAAAAAGAAAGTTTAATTATTAGCATGAACTTTACCATTTCCTCTGCAATGCCAGTTTTATTTTATTTTCCATTTTTATAGGCTGGGAGATAAATGAATACAGCAATGGTTTCTAGCCAATTGTCTCCCAAGCCCATGTTTCAAAGTCCCAACGTTTAATTAACAGAACAGGGAATCTGTCCTGAACTGAACTCATTGACATGCAATGCCAGTTTTAAGTGGAAATATAAATTTAACTCATATGTAAAATCACCTCAATTATGCTAATTTATATTTCATAGCTCATCCGCAGAGGTACCTCAAAGCCAGCCAGAAGAGACAAATTCAAGCCAGACTCAAGAAGGTTGGAATGAGGAACAGAGGGTGTCCCCTGCCTGCATCTAACTCAACAGAGAGCTCCTTTGGACACAAGGATACTCATGGGAAAAGTGCAGATGCTCACAGGGGAGGGGGGGGGCATTCTGCAGCAAGTAAACGCTCAGGCCTAACAGCTGCTGAGTTTTGCCTTGAAACCACCCACTAGACCAAGGCCGTGGGGAGGTAGAGCCAAGGATCTCCCCTGCCAGTTGGCCAGCCATAGCAACCCACGGTACATGAGGGATGCCCAAGGGTCTTTAAAATTCCACACCTGGACATACTAGGTACTCAGACTGGGGGTGAGTTAGAGGCTGACTTACCAAAAATGCCAGCATGCTACCAGAATGGAGGTGGCCACCACCACTACTGCCCACAACACTGCGAGACACAAGTACCTGACCCCAACCCCCCTGAGCTACCTACATCCCCATAGGAGGTAAAAGGTGACAGCAACATGGGCTTCCTCCTCCCCAACATCACCCAGCTACCACCTCAGGTGAAGGGCAGCAGTGGACCCGGGGCAGGGCCCGGGAGGTAGGGAGGCAGAAGGGCACATGAGCCAAGGCCCCAAACCCTGAGCACAGGCTCCATTGTCCCATCAGACTTCATTTACAAAACAAGATCAAATATAAAATTTAGAATTTTAAGATTCTGACAGGAAAGAATTAAACCAAGGATGAGACCCTTCTGAGCACAGAACCCTGCATGAGTGCGTAGGAAGCTGGCCCTACCTGGTTCTCAGCTATAATATGAAAATCAAAGAAAAGGTGGTTAGTCTATAGCTTTCCACAGAGTTGCTCTAAATGGGAATAGAAAAATAACATAGTTTCTCTAAAAACTATGTCCCTCCAAATACAGTGAAATCTTGATAATGCTGGTGCCATAGAACTAAACTCATTCAGGCCTCCAGGGGAACCAGGTGCAGCTCCAACGGGGGGTGGGAAGCATGTGGGTCATTATTTTTACAGGTGACATTATTTGACACGTGGCTCATTTAAACTAGAGTTTTAAGATCACGTGACAATACACATTCCAAATATACTTTGAATGAACAAATAACAGAAATATTTGACAAAACACTCTGTATTTTTCCATCAGAGAAATAAAATTCCTATTTGCCTCATTTCCACATGCACACATTTAAAAAATAATTCCCCAAGAAATAAGCTTTCTTTCAGAGCAGTTCACTGTATACCAGAAGTTCTGAAGAATAAAAATAACCCTGACACCCTCAATCACATTTGATAGTGATTAAAAACTATCAAATCAATTATTTTTTTAAAATCTCACATTGACCACTCAACAGTGATTGAGACAATCCTAGTATCTTGTTCAAATACTAATAATCAGCATTATGACATGCTGTTCATTGCCTTTTTTAAAAGCCTGTCAAATAAGGGGGTGGAAGCCCGGCCCATGTGGCTCAGTGGTTGAGCATGGGCACATGCCTGGGCTCGATTCCCAGTCGGGGGCATGCAGGAGCAGCCGATTGATGTTTCTCTCTCATCAATGTTTCTCTCTCTCAATCCCTCTCCTTTCCTCTCTATAAAATTAATAAAAAAATATTTTTAAAAAATAAGGGGACAGGAGTGGGGAGGAGGAGGTCAATGGGGGGAAAATTACAATAATTTCAATAATAAGGACAATTTTTACAAAAAGAAAACTAGTCCAAGTTGTGTGTGTGTGTGTGTGTGTGTGTGTATTTTTTAGTGGTACTCAGTGCTGGTAAGGCAAATCCTGTCAACCACTGCTGATGGGAATGAAAATTATTACAGTCCCTTTTGAAAAAAAACTTGGGAGTAGATTTTATGAGGCCTAAAATGTTCATTCCTTTGTTTCACTGACCTTAGAGAAATAATTTGGAAAGTGGCAAATATTTACATACAAAGATTGTCACAACAGCATTATTAATATTAGCAAATAAGTAGCAAACATTAGGAAAACGTTTAAATGGGGTTTTGTACATCTGCATAATAGACTGTCATAGAGTCATTATCAATTATGATTATAAATTATGAAGAATCTTTAATGAAGTGACAAAATGCTTATGACAGACTGTAAAGTTAAAAAGACTTAGTGCATAAAACTATATATTCTGTATAGTATCTGTAGTTACCTATGCTTAAGTATTGATTGAGAGATTCATTGGGAAAACACTGAAAGATAAAAAGACTAAAAAACTAAAACTAAAAAACAAAAATTAAAAAGGTGGTCAAATAACGTACAGCACCTACTGGCTCAGCATAGATTAAAGTCATTGGAACCAGTGCTTAAAGTGGTCCACGGAGGGGGGCCAGTCTGTGACCTACTTACGGCCAGTTCATAACAAGATAACTAAAGAAACTAAGAGTGTTTCAAAAGGTGTATAGCAATTTGAAAGGGTGATGTTATGTCTGATAAATCTAATCATGTATAATACAAATAAGTCCAAAATCATTGTATCTGCCTCCTTTTTTCTTTTCAGTCATTCTGGATTGGAGATATGCATATAACAACAGATTCTGATTGGCCTTCTACTTTACTTCCATTTAAGGTATAACATTTATACTGTGTAGATACTCTTAACTATAGAAAAGTGTATTTTGAAAATGTAAAGCTGCCAAAGTTACCTAGCCCTAAATTAGTCTACAAAATAAGTTAAATCTCTAAAACAGTGACATGTGGGCAAATTGCCATCTATCAACTCTAATCTCTGATTTAGGGGCCCATTTTTGTGTGTTTATATATTTTTTTAAACAATGCTGACAAGCACTTTTCACACTTAGTATATGCCTATCAGTAGACCCAGAGGAAATATCTTGATTATTTTTCCAAGAAACTGAGAAAGTATTACACACACAAAAACGAGAAGCGGGGAAAAATGCTTCAGAACAGCGTCAGCGTGTTTCTCTGAATACCAGTGCAAATCTGCAATGTGAAGATATGTGCAAATCAGCTTTTATGAAAATAGATACAGGCATTACAGTTATGAGCACATTTTTATATTTCCAAATATCTCAAGTTAATTTCTATGATGAATATCCCCATTGACATTACTTAATGGTTTAAAGCAACTTGATATTTAAAAAACCACACCTAATCAACTTTAAATGAAATTCCTTTATCATAAAAATTATGAGCGTGGATATATAAAATATTAAAAAAAAGACATCCAAAGTAATAAAAAATAAAGACCAGAAATCCTACCAATACCATGGTTTCCAAACCAATAAGATTATAGTGTTCTCCTGTGGTGTTGTTCAGTTTCCAAAATTCCAAGTCCTAGGTAAGGCCTGGATGTGATCAAGTTTCAGACTACATATAATTTTTTCACCATAACTGTTCTGTTGGGGTTTTTTTCTTTCTTTGAGAGCCAAAGATAACAGCCCTGACACAGTGGGGATAGTAGCAATTATTTAAGTTCCAAATAAATGCATTGTTTTATTTGCTTTACTCACCTCTTTATACCCAGAGGTGAAAACCTGCTTCTTCCTTTCTTATGTTGCTCTACTGATACCCTAAGCACATTTGTGGATTTGATTGTGAAATCTAAATATAACAAAAATATTCATAATTCATTCTGCCAGTACATCATGGTTTCAAAATGCCCCAAATTCAAACAAACAATAATAATAAACACCATAAACAAGGACAAAAAGCAAATGTCAAACTGGGAAAAATATTTGCAACTCATATTACTGACAAATGGCAGTTTCACAATAAAGTAGTAATTCCTACAAGTCAGTTCTTAAAAAGCTAACATTCCAGTACAAAAATAGACAAAGGATAAACCAGACAGTTCACAAAAAGGAAGTACAAATAAGTAACTCTTTTTACAAGAGAACATCTTCAACCTTACTTATAATAAGAGAGAAATACAACTCATAGTGAAATCATTCTTTCTCTAACAGATTGTCAGAAAGTGTTAACACGCTGTATTGGGAAAGTTGAGGGTAAATCGAGCATTCTCATGTACTACTCTTGGGAATGTAAAGTGGCACCAACTCTACGGAGAAAATCTGGTCATTTTTATTAAAATTAGAAATACAGACCAAAAAGGACATTATTAGGTCAAATGACAAATTTGGAATATGGATAGTATATTGTAGAGAAATACATTGTACCCATGTTAAATTTATGAAAATTCATAACTTACAATGGTTATAAAAAAGAATGCCCTTATTTTCAGGAAATACACATGCATTTAGGAGAAAAGGGCCATAATATATTCAACTTATTTATAGGATTTACAGGTATTCTTTATACGATTTTTACATTTTTTGTTTTTGTTTTTTTGTTAATTCTTACCCAGCGATATTTTTCCATTGGTTTTTAAAGAGTGGAAGAGAGGGGGAGAGATAGAGAGAGAAACATCGATGTGAGAGAGACACATTTATTGCTTGCCTCCAAGGCTCGTGCCCTTGACCAAAATCGAACCAGGAACCGTTCAATACTCAGGCTGACACTGTATCCACTGAGCCAAACCAGCTAGGGCTATTCTTACTCTTGCCACTTTCTTTTTTGTTTTTGTTGTTTGTTTGTTTGTTTTTTCAATCTTTTATTGTTGAAAGTATGCCATATGTCTCCATTTTTCTCTGATTGAGCCCTTACAGTCTGCCCCCCAGGCCCCTGCACCAGGCCTTCACCACCCTATTGTCTGTGTCCATGGGTTATGCATATATGCATACAAGTTCTTTGGTTGATCTCTACACACACACACACACACACACACACACACACACACACACACACTTTCCCTCTGAGATTTCACAGTCTGTTCCATGCTTCTATGTCTCTAGATCTATTTTGTTCATCAGTTTATTCTATTCATTAGATTCCACATATGAGTGAGATCATGTGATACT